TGGCGAGCTTTCGGCACGTAATGCCTTCGTCAGGCCTTAAATTACAGTGCTTAACATATAACAGCTACAAAAAGAATACATCGAGATGGTTACATACCAGTGATGAAGGGACGGACCTATCAGTGGGGACACAGGGACATAAAATGACCCGCGCTGACATAACATTGAGGCACATGGGTGGGGTCTAATGATTAGGCGATGAGCCTCAGGAGGTCACGTAGCTCCTCTTTTGCATTAATTTCTGGCTTTAAGCGATGTATCTCCCGCGCTTCCATTATCTTCCTTTCCAGCGGTCGTACCAAGTGTCTGTGCAGTACACTCACGTCGAAGGACGGAGCATTATCATCCGCGTGCCTAAGTGTACGGTGCCGCGAGAAACTGCTTCGTGGGTAAGCAGCGGGGTTGGTTAGCGCTCTTCTGTGCTCGTCTAGACGATTCTTCAACGGTGGCTCCCCGACATATTTCTCTCCACATCCTATGCATTCCAGTGGACGATGCCTTGGAGTTCACAAACCTTTTCAGATGTACAGCATCGGCGAGATTCTTCGTGCTTTGATTCTTGAAAATGTCGGGCTTTCAGTGTAGGAGGAGGACGGAAAACTAGTCGAATGGGGAGCTGGGAGTTCTTCACCATCGATCTTCACCCTACACTGAAAGCCCTCCTGACATCTTCAAGAATCTATGAAAGCCGGTGTCACGAAGAATCTTGCCGATACTGTACATCTGAAAAGATTTGTGAACTCCAAGGCACCGTCTACTTGATACAGTGCAGAGGATGTGGAGAGAAATATGTCGGGGAGACCGCACGACCGTTGAAGAATCGTCTAGACGAGCACAGAAGAGCGCTGACCAACCCCGCTGCTTACCCACGAAGCAGTTTCTCGCGGCACCGTACACTTAGGCACGCGAATGATAATGCTCCGTCCTTCGACGTGAGTGTACTGCACAGACACTTGGTAGCTACGCGTGACGCTCCTGGAGGGCTCTATCGCTCACTGCATTATGACGGCCCCATGCTTGCTTCAATGTTATATCAGCGCGGGTCATTTTGTGTCCCTGTGTCCCCACTGATAGGTCCGTCCCTTCACCACTGGTATGTAAACATCTCGGTGTATTGTTTTTGTAGCTTTTATATGTTGTGTTAGCATTGTAATTTGAAGCCTGACGAAGGCATTACGTGCCGAAAGCTCGGCGTTAATGCCTGCTTAACCTTAACAGGGAAGGATACCTTGTCATTGAGCCTATTGCTAGTAATGAGATGATTACACTAGAAGCGGTCGGACGCTTTGATATGTCAGATCTTACTTCCTTAATGCTGCTAAACGCTTTCTGGCTACGGTCGATGAAGTTACGACCTTTTTTGCTATCCGCGCTTTTTAACCATTTGCGGTGGGCCCCTGTCCCATGCTTGCGCTTCTGTACCGGCTCGTGACACAACTGTCGCCGTGGCTCGATGGCGCAGCAGGTAAGTGGATGGACTCATAGTTGTGGACGGAGGTTCGGATCCTTGATGCATTTCCTAGTTTTGCTTTTTCTTCAAACGTATGCTAAACACTTGGGAAGTAGTTTAGCGTACCTGTCCGACCACCAAGACCCCTCCCTGCTCTCTTATTGACCCTCACAAACGCATGTTCGTGGTAAATGACCTTTTACTCTTAACTGCGTTCGAGGCAAGCGATGCAGGATTATCAACAGATACGTGCTGAAGCCAGGTGAACTGCAATATTTACCATCTCGTGTAGGACGCAACGTGTAGTGTGCCCAACCGAAAGATGTTCGTAAGGATTTCTCTGGAAGCTCTTATTCACCCACGTCACAACCTCCAGCTCAAATCGTATCGACGTGCTCCATAACTGCGAGAAATTTTCGACTAGGGCGCATCATTGTTGGGTATATTAGGCTTGGTCTCTACGACCCCAGCCCCTCTTTTTGAGCTGCCAAGCGGGAAGGGGGTATATATCGCATGAAAACAGGAAAAATCAACAAAAAGTCAGCCATCCTGCTTACTACAACTGCCAAAACGCTAAATACGAGAATCTCCCTCCCAACATATGATCAAGTTTCCGCCCCCCGTCACAACGTCCGCATTTGAAGGCGGGAAAAAACAACTATCAAAAATAGTTTTCCTCAGCCGCAATACGACCCCGCTCTCTCCTGGCGGCGCATACGACACACCCCCTATTCGGGATTGTTCCAACAACGGTGTGCCCTGATTTCGACCCGATCTTGGTGACTTATCATACTCTAAGTTTGAAAGAGTTCGATCTTGCGATATGTTCGATCACAATCCGCAAAGACGAGGAAGATTGGATACTTCTTGGCTATTTTGCGCTGACGCACTGGCACGACAATTTATAATTGACTGCGAGGAAGATAGCTTCGTAGAGGACGACCATACGGATCCCCTCTGGTCACCTGATGATGGCGATGAAGAAAGTTCCTTCAGAGCTAGAAGAACAGTTTCAGTCACTTTTGGGGATGTGGAGGTTCCGATAGAGAAAGTGGTTTTTATGTCCTAATTGTCTCACTTCATTGGACTTTCACTTTGTTGACACTTCATAGTATAGTATGTGTGTGGTTTAGGTGAGTGAAGCCATAGCCTTCTACCTTTCTAGTGCAGAGAAAAGTCGCTCATTTCCATGCATGAAGAGCAGGTTTCCCGTTCCTTTGCTTACTTGCGGAAAATGAGTTGAGATATTATCAAATTATGAATTCTCTCAGCTGGAAGTAAAATGAAACCTCTCAAAATCACATCATGGGGTCTAGTAATGAAGCAGGGAGGTATCATTTGTAGTCTAAGAGAGTACGCTAAAACTAGTTCCCAGGTGTTTAGTCATTACGTTTGATAGATAAAAGCAAAACTAGTAGATCGCATCAGTGATTTCGAACTCGCTCCGTCATCAAGCTATCGAGTCAGTTCCACTTACTGCTGCGCCATCGAGCACGCGGGAGTTGTGTCACTGAGCGGTTCAGAGCGCAAAGCATGAGGCAGGGAGGCCAGCCGCATATGGTAAGCACGGTAGCAAAAAAAAGGTCCGTAACTTCTCACCCAGAATCGTTTAGCAGATTTGGAAGTCAGATCTGATATCAGCGTCCGAAGACGCTTCTAGTGGTATACATCTCATTCTGAATGGCCATGACGAGTTGGTATCCTTCCCTTGTCAGTGAAGAGGCCGCCAAGTACACTATGCAAGCATTACACTATTATGAGACTCTGTAGATATACGCACTATCTTACCTATTGTTATAATAATAACCCAGGAAGCAGAACTTCAAATAAAAGGAAGTCTACCTTCAGTTGCTTCTGCCAAAACTCGGTGAACTTTGGACTGGACGGATTAGTGTCGATCAGCAAAATTGGAGCAAGCTTCTGTACTCTTCTTGTGTCATCCATACGAGTCTATAAAACTGTGATAGAAACTGTCATAGAACACTTCCTAGTAATGTCACACTGACGCACTCCAATACTTGTAATAGTTAAAGGAGTAGAGAAGCGGGATATCAACTCCCATTCAAGCCGAGAGATATTAAACTTACCGTCACAGAACAAGATTCACACGGCCCCTGGCGTTGTCCCTTTGCATGCAGTGATTTTTCCAGCAAATAGCTCATGGTCCTCTGTTCCGCAGCTGAATCAATAGCATACCGGACAGTAGGCCGGAGAGAGTCCTTGTAGCAAGGCAAAAAGAGCACTAACATACCTTCCGGATAGTTCAATGAGATAATGATTTTCTTTTCATCTGATCCATTCAGCTCTCCACACCTGATGCAACGTGATAGTACAGTTAGGTCGGATTCCAAGATCTCGGCCAGCTTACCACATTCCTCTCCGACTACAGACTAGAAACAGTGGTTGAGTTAATTAGAATTTAAAGGCGCGGTCCGCGATCAGGCATAGAATTTGAAAATAGGCGTCGGAAGCGTAGCAGTGTGGTTGGTAACGAACAACGATGCACCGTTTTCGCGGCAAAAATTGCAAGGAAGGGGCGCTATAGTGCAATATAATAGGTTTGGTGACGCCATCTTTTCTCCAATAACTCCTCCTCCAGACTCCGCCTTCAAGGCCCGCCTATCAGTGAAGAACGAAGGTGCGGGACGAAAAAACATGAAAATCGTCGTAGAATTCTTATCGGTAGTCAGCTATGCAGATGAGGGCGCAGTGTTGGAGATAGAGTTAATTGGTACGTACAAACGGGGATCGAAATGGCGTTCCACCTAGGGCATATTTTTTCTGTTTTTTTTTCTTCACTATCGAGTTACTCAGAACCTTGTCGTCTATATGCAATCCCCTAGTCCACTATCTGTGATGGCGAATGATCGCGGGTTTGGCTTTCAACCACCACAAGCGAAGTAAAAAAATAGGGGCGAGATCGGGAAGGGGGAGGGGGGGGAAGGAGGCGGGGTGGGAGAGCATTCGAGGGTGCCCTTATGCAAAACTACAACTGTCGTAATGGAAGTGGGGACTGTAGAGGGAGCTACGGGTTATGTAAGCCAATTTCCGAAGGAGTTTCGCATTATGACTACCCGTTTAGCAGCTCAGTACTTCGAAGTCTTCCTCCCATTCACCCGATATACCCGAAACGCTCCGAAACTCACGGAACAGAGCATGTTTCTCATTACCACCAAGTATTCGGTTGAGATACAGAAAAGCTGGAATATTGTTACCTTGTTCAATGCGCTCGTAACGTAGGATAAGCAGATTTTGCGTTGTGACTTGCACTGGTCCCATCACTGGCGCTGCACCAGAAACGACAAGTGACCGGATCAAATTCGTACACTGAAAGAGCGTGGATTATGCCCTTAGATTTGCTACCTTGAAGAATACAATTCATTTCTATTAAGTCCCGCAAACACAGAATAATGTTCTAATATACTCCCAGGACAATTTCCTGATATACAGAACAATTTCCTAATATACTCTTACCAGAACAATTTCCTGATATAGCATTACCATTTTGCACCCTCCTCCTCAAGCCTCTTATGTTGTCTCGCAGAATGAGTGCTAAATATTCTTTCACATGCTCGTTCTACGTACTTCCTAGATCCTCAGTAAAAAGGGTTTTCAAACGGCAAATATATGAAGCCAGAAAAGGAAAAGAGGATGATCTCGGTCTCGATCCTGCTTAGCTGCCCCCTGCCTTGCTGCGTAAGTTTCTTCTCAATTTCCCTCTAGTAAAACATTCCATCTATCTCTCGCAGCAATCTAGCATACTGGGCGAGCTGGGCAATATTTATTGCCGACATCTGCGCCATTTTTTCATTCCTCGGTTCATATGCCCGGCCTTTAAACTGCTCCTTTTCCGAGTAAAAAACTACCACTGTGACACTCAAAACACATAGTGCTCTCTACCACACGCCTTGCAATATGACGGCCGCAGTTCCGCTGAGAGGAGGGCGCGGCGGCGATTCTGTGACTTTCTCTACTTCTCATCGTCGTGTCGAAACATCCAGCAGAGATTTGGGAATTCTTGTAGAGCCTTATAGTGATACCAGTATATTTCTCTGGAAATTACTTGTAAAGGATACCTGCAAACTCATGAAAAGGAATGAGTACGAGGATAGGAAGTAGTGGAAGTGTAACCCCCTCCGATGAGCCAAACTGCACCCTTTATTTTTCTGCGGGTCTTGTTGCCTGCAGTGCTCGTCTCAATAGAAGTCGTCTTTCGCAGAATAAGTCTTCACAGCCCACTATGTACTGTTTAGTACTTAAAAACAAGGTAAAAGGGCACTGTAAATTAACGGAAGTGATACACCACTCGCCTTGCTGCCTCCTCTTGATTTGGCTCTTATCGCTTGATGATCCTGAACAAAAAATTCCTTAACTGGACAAATATACAACTGCTCGTCCTCACAATATGTGAATAGGAATTAACGTTTCGGGAGCCGGAATATGGAAACAACATCCTGCAACGGCATAATACTGATTCTCAAAAATTCACTCACTTTCTCCAAAACTAGCAAGTATTTGAGATAATAGAGTAGAAAATAGTGTCATTTAAACGGTACTAAGACCTCTTAATACAAACACCTGATTTCCATCTTATGAGGCAGAAGCGGTCGTTACCAGCACTATCGGGTTGATAATGGCGCTGGACGCGACGTTCTCCATTGGCACATAGTCTGTCTTGTTGTATTTCAAAACAGCATTATCTTCAGGCCTTCCACTGCGTGAACGGCGAACTTCCAACTTGCGGTAAAACTGGGGAATGATGACTGGTCCGGGATCATCTTCTTCCTCTATAAACGAGTATAAGAACACGAACCGGAAGTTGGCATTCAAAGCTATAACTGTCAACTGACCACAGGATTCCTGTCCGTCCAGATAGTATGGAACAACATTAAAATACGCCATCGGAGTATTAGCACGTGGGTTTGGTGCATAGCCTACGAACTGAATAGTTGACATAGCTGGGTGAGCAGGCAATGGTTTTGGCCTCCTGCAAGAGTAGCTTGTTTTTGGGTTGCGCTTAGTTATACGAGTTAAACCTTTCCGGCTGCCAGTTCCAACGAACAATACTAATTACATGAAGAAATCTCAAAATCAAGTGTCAAGCTCAGAATCAAAAGGCAAGCGAGAGAGACATTCAGACCATTGCTGGTTTTCTTTTACCAACATGTGGCCGTCTCCAAAGAGTGCTCACCGCCACGTGCAGTCTTCACAATGTGCTTAGCTGAACGAACCGTGGCCGTTCAGCAAAAAACGCCTCTCGTAGCCCTTCCACCAATGCTAGTAGTAACAAACCGGCCCGCCTCCAGCCAATCGTAGGTGCCACTCCTTTCAACTAATCAAACAGATGTAATGTCGTAGCTCGACTGCGGACAGAAGGGAATATCAGCGGGATGGGCGTAAGGCTGCGTTTATACTTTGCGGCAGCGTAGCGTAGCGTAGCGCAGCGTAGCGTAGCGCTTCCAGCGTACGCCAGCGGCAGTGCCGAAGAGAGGATGCATATCGATCTAGCTTCACCAGCGTCACCAGCGGCACGCTGGCGTACGCTAGCGGCACGCTAGCGTACGCCAGCGTTTCTCCAGCGTTTCACCAGCGTTTTGCTAGCGCTTGCAGCGGCAGGGGAGTAGAGACTATGGGAGAGCTGGAGGGTACAAAACTCATCGATTGCGCGTCTCCCACTCGCCCTTAGTCTCTACAATGCACATCGCTTCTGCGTCTCCGACGGCCCCATAGTCTCTACGATGCACATTGCTTCTGCGTCTCCGATGCCACGATAGTCATTACAATGCCACATCGCTTCTTGGCGATCTCGACGGCCCCTAGTCTCTACGATGCACATTGCTTCTGCGTCTCCGACGCCACATAGTCTCTACAATGCACATCGCTTCTGCGTCTCCGACGGCCATATGGTCTCTACAATACACGTCGATTCCGCTTCTCTCACGGCCACATAGTCTCTACTCCCCTGCCGCTGCAAGCGCTAGCAAAACGCTGGTGAAACGCTGGAAACAACGACTGGGCGTACGCTGCGTACAGCCAGCGTGCCGGCTGGTGCGCTGGTGAAGCTAGATGATATTGCATCTCGCTTCGGCACTGCGCTTGTTGCGTTTACGCTGGAAAGCTACGCTGACGCTACGCTGCGCAAAGTATAAACGCAGCCTTAAACTCGTTCCTATCAGTTATGCTGCAAGCGAGCAACTTATAAGATCGTATCATATCGTTTCGTGTCACTCGTTTCCTATCAACTGTTGTCGCATAGCGCTTTAGCAAGTGGTAGAGGACGGTCTGGCGCAGTGGCACATCAGCAGCGAACAAGTGTGCATTTAGCCGAGCATTTAGCAGTCATAGAAATATCACCCACCTGTAAACGTTTTGACACATCTCTTCTGGCCAGTCCGAAAAGTAGGTATCATCACAAGAAAACGGAAGAGGCACAGATGCAAGTGGGGTATGGGTGTCATCGATTAAAAACGATTGAGGAGGTCCGAGCTGAACATAAAACATCTTTAGTCATTTAAACTCGGCTAATGCCGTTTGGACTCCTGCAATTTCGGCACCGAGCTCATTTTTAAATTGCCTAAGTCACAATCCGCTAATAAACTTGTATTTAGGGGTAGTTTAACATCCTGATTACGAATGTGACATTCACTCTTGCCGCTGGCGCTAATGGATGACACTACGATTATCTGCGCTCCGCTAAGGCTGCTGCTGCTGTGCCCTGCCTGAGCCAAGAGGTTAATCGTAGTTACATCCCTTGGCGTAAACGCCAAGAATGAGTGTCATAATTGTAATCACGATGGTAAATAACCCTTGTGTACATGTTTTCAGCGGGTTTGGTGACTTAGGCAATTTAAAAATGAGCTCGGTGCCGAAATTGCTGGAGTCCAAACGGCATTAGCCTTTAAACTCGAGGGACCATCATTATCATACCGATGGATCAGCGAAGTCGGTTTCGTACGAGGAATCGTTGATGGCGGGATTCGGTCGATCTGCGTAAACATGGATGTTTCCTGGAAATACTGGGAAATCACAAACTCTATTAGCGACTCTCACAGGTCTAGTGGAGTGTCACAAAAATTGCTGAAATTTGATTGACTCGTAGAGCTCTCACCAATTTCGTCTCCAAAGGCAAGGTACTGCTTCGTTGATGAGAAATCGAAAGCGGTCAGATGATATCCACCAGAATCAATTATTACTGGAATGCCAGCATTCCTCTCGTTCAAAAACATCATCTGAGCCTGCCCATTCTGGAACCAATTCTGGGAAATATGACGCTCCTCTTGAAGAACGCGTGAAAATTTTAACCCACCTGACCAACACTGAATACCCGTGACTCGCAGAAAGTTGGAAGAGTAAGAAACCTGGAGAACGATGGAGCAAAGGAGAGTGGTAGCGGTGGAAGAGCCGAGAAATTCCGCAGATCGTACACTTTCACGTAGGGATCGCCATGTGGTACTCCAAGTCTAAATATTGCGTGCTCAAGAAAAAAATCTAAAACCTTCGCGCATATAGCAGGTTACAGCGGTGATCTCAGTTATCCGCTTAACAATGAATTACCCGTAGATAGGGTTCTTTTGAAGGTAGCGTCCGTCGCACACAGCGATAGATACATAGGATTGAGCAGAAACTGCCAGGATTTTTGGGAC